GTAAGTGTCGTGCACCTACGGGATGCCCATGTATGTGTGTATGGTATTGATTGTCCTGTTGGGGTACTCTGGGTTTCTTTTCCTACTCCTCTGTGATCTTGATTGTGTGGCTGAATGCATGTGATCTACCTACTCGCCTGATGGATGGAAAATGAAGTATCTTGTTATACATGTCGAGTCTTTCTACAGTGCTTTGTCTTTTCATCACTGAACGGTTGTGTAGGTTCTGCCAGAAGTTGAAATTTCGTTTTTCAGTGCAGTCGAGACTGAACTAAGTTCAGGTGGGACTCCTCTTGGTTGGGACCTGGTTGAGACCTACGTGGGACCCTTGGGACCAAGCGGAACCCTTGGGACCCAGCGGGACCGGGCCCAAACAAGGAGAGCCCCTGGACCCAAATCGGTTAGGCATCTGACCTCTTGTCTTCTTGGCTGAGATATGAGTTCATTCTTCTTGGATTAGGACACCCACTGCCGAGGGGATCTTGGCTTTGACGTTTCGCTTGTATTCTGATTGCGTCGTCCGTGGCTTGACTCGCACCCTGTACACCACTCAATTCTCCATTGTTTCATTTAGTTACTCGTTGTCTGATTTGCTATACGGACACGGGGCTGGTCAGACTGGACTCAAGAGGACCTCGTATGCAGTCTGATCAGACTAGGTCGCTGGATCAGACCTCTCTTTGAGTTATTGATTGTTTCTTATGCTGTTCTCTACTTCCAAACGAAATGTCGCTCCGGCTAGGAGTTCTACCTTCTATTCTTTGAGCTTTATCTGTTTTTCTGAGTTCATTTCCGATGCCCGTGGAGACTCGCAATCAGAAAGAAGAAAGAGAGAGGAGGGAGAGAGAACAGGGAGAGAGGGAAAGTGATAGTCTGAGGTGGGCAAGGACTGGGAAAAGGAGTGCGAAAGGGGGAGTGAACCTCTTGAGAGTCTGATTGATTCTTTTGCTTACTGGCGACTCTCTGATCCACCTGCTCACACTGACAGTCCCAAGATGTCTCAGCTAACTTCGACACAATGGCGGACCTTGTTAGATGCAGTCGGTGATGCTGAGAAACCACATCTACAAGCACTCTTAGATGGTGCTATAAAACGGGAACAGAAGTCAGAGAAGGAGAGGAAGGAGGCCTTGCCGAGAAGGCAAGTAGCCCTCCTAGAGACTGTCCCCTCACTGACTGAAGAGCAGTGCGGGGAACAGCTGCAGTCCATCCTCACAGCCTTTGTTCAAATCAGGAATCTTGAGGACCATACCACTCAGATCGCTGAAGTTTTTGCAAAACTGCAAACACTTCAGGATGATCTGACTGAGACGACCTTCAAATACCATGAACTGACAAAGGAGGTGGCGGATCTGCGACAAGCCCAAGTGGCCAACCCTCTTCCTCTACCTCCTGGAACTGAAGCTGCAATCGAAACTACCTCTGCCCCTCTTACTGTATCTGCTTCTACCTCTTCTTCGAGTGTGATGGCAACTTCCTCAGGACCCGCAGCAGGTGCAGATTCCACTGTTGCTGTAACAAGCAATGAGGCTGGAACTTCTGCAACTGCTGCAGCCCCAAGACCGGAACCAGTTGCTGCTGGTCCCAGCCATGCTGGTCCCTATGTGGACCGAAAGGCAGTTCAAATACCGTGGGGACATCGAGTCCTGGAAGACATCGAGTCCTGGATCGGCTCCATGAGGGCCTACTTTGAGATCCTGGGGACTCAAGCTGAGACCCAGGCTCATCATGGGTATGAATGTCGAGCCAGTCATACGGGGCTTCCTAGAAGTCCAAGCAACGCGGGCTGGGTTTCCAAAGGCTGCATTGGCCAAATGGCTAAGGGCTACCCCGGTTGCCTCCCTCGAAGAACTCCTTACCTCAGAATACCAAGATCCACATGTTGCTGCTAAAGCAAGAATTCAACTGGATAAAGTAAAGCACAGCAAGTGGAATGGCTCCATGAAAAGCCTGCAGACCTATCTAAGCAAGTTGTTTGCCACTCCCGGTTTGGAATTGTCCCCGCAATCTTGCTTGGATGTGGTCAAGGGCGCGGTTCCAACTAGCTTCACTAGTCGCCTGGGCAGGGACTACATTGCTTATACTGACTGGCTTGCCTTAATGAAGGATGTAGTCAGTCTGGAGGCCATGGACCTCGTTA